ATGAAGCTGCGCAGGTATGGATTGAAACCGTATCTAATGGGGGCAGCACCTCTGCTATCATTCCTTCTTTAAAACACATTGTAAAGGAGTATCTAGGAAAGGCTCAAGAGGCTCTAGAGCACTTAACAGTAATTATTAAATGGATTCTATTTGCTTTGGAAGGATTTTAATCGGTGAAACGCCCAGGGCTGGGAGGAGGATCCTAGTCGTGTCCCGGGGGGGTCCCCACAGGGTGAGAACCCCCTTAAAAAAAAAAAGACAAAAAAAAAAAACCCTCACGGGGCTTGAAGGAACCGGAGAGGGTGGCCAAGCCAAGAGCCCGGGGTCGGTGCCAAGCACCAGCTCCCTCCTCCCAGTCGGCCACGGTCAGATGATGTGCGAGGCGAGCCGGGAGGCTCCTAGTCTGGCAGGCAGCCTGCTCTGCTCCAGAGGCTCCAGTGCTGTCATCCTGGCGTTAACCCCTGATAACCTTGTCCTTCCCAGGACGGCACAGCGGCTTTTAGGCAAGCAAGGAGCAGGGGGTCAAGTCTCCCAGCGAGGCTGGGAAGTAAAGGGTGCAACACCCTGCRACGCTCAAAGCAAATTAAAAAATGTCAGAACGACGTAAGCTCAAAAATAAACCAAAAATAAGTGACTTAAAGAAAAAAAAAATTCCCAAGCAATTGTTTATCCCTGGGACAAATATACAATCCTAGTTCCACAGGAAGATGTCTCAATTTCAGATTATAATAGGATGCCAATTTGTAAATAAAGGCATTTCACAGGAGGTTATAAACTCCGTAGGGGAGGGAGGTGGAAGTGGGGGGAACGGGAAAACAGGCAGGACTTTGGCGGAGAAACAGCACAGGATCCTGTTTACATGGGCGGGGGGAGAGCGATGGGGAGCCGCTTCGGGGGGCAAATATCTCCGGATTTGGACAAGGTGCTTCTTCCCTGTCGAGCAGATACCAGCAGGGATCAGAGGCATAGTGAAACATTCCCGGCCTGCCCGCAATTTTGGAATGAAATGTCAATCATCCAAGAGGTCCCTTAAACCAGACRAGGTCCCACAGCACAGAAGAGCTGGAGTAGAGAGTGATGCTAACGCCCTTCCAGCCTCAGGAAGGCTTTTCCCTGTGTGTTTGGWGTGGAGTTGGGAGGGAGAAACCAAGTCTGTGCCTGCTGCAGGACAGCCTCGTGGGTTTCCCAGCCTCAAGGCTTGCAGAACCTTGATCCAGCACCTGCCAAGCATYATCACTCAACATCCACTGGCTCTTKGAGACCRTGAGGTGCTTCCAGAGTTTGGGCAAATSAACAGAACTGGGCCAAAATCTGGATAAACCCTCATGTTTGGTATTTTAGAAACAAACCTCTATAAAAAAAAGCAGTAGATGTGGCAAGGACACAAGCCTGCTCAATTTGCTCTCCCTTCTGATGACAAGCTCTGGGCTTCTCAAGAGCTTTGCCTTGCCAACAGACCCAGCCCTGCTCACCTGTCCTGCTGGAGAGCCACCTCCCCAGCAACCAGTGACACCACAGCCTCCCACACCACACACAGGTCAGGACAGAGCTGTCCAGGCTGGTGGATCACCTTCTTGGAGACCCAGCACCAACACCAGCAGCTCCCTTGTGCCCCCGGAGCAGAGCTTCTCCATGGGTCACACAGGAATTTGGCTCCTACCAATCTGATGCCAGCAGACCACGGGCCAGCCCCCTCCAGGCTCTCCAAACATGGCTTTGCTTGTTTGAAAGAAGTCATAACCAAACACATCTGCTGAGAACAAGTCAGCTCAAAATACAGGAAAACCACCCTCTGTCTCCTATTTACGGGAATTATTTTTATCTCCAATGGGGTATTTTTGCTCTTTAGCCACACCGAGGACAGAAAGGATCTGGCTGGCACTACCTGAGCACAGCCATGTCAGTGGGAGAAAACGTGAGCGAGGAGTCCTGACCTCCCCACAGGCTGACCACCGATAAAAATAAAGATGATATAAGAAAATAAATAAAGGCAAGAATTCAGGAGTGAGAGCCAGTGCCTTGGGCAAAGCAAGGGCTACATCAGCCAGAGAATGGGATGGCTGGGGGAGACAGAGCAGAGCTGGGATGAGAAGAGGACACCAGGAYGTGTGAAGGACCACTCAGTACTGCATTCCTGGGTCAGGAAGGAGAAYAGAAGAAGAGAGGGAGGAGGGGAACAGCTCAGATAAGTTATCGTAAGGGGGAAGCAGTCCTTGTACATCCCCTGGCTGTGCTGCTCCCCTGCCACACATCCTCCAGCACCTCTGGTGTCCATCAGCACAACAGCCTGCAGCCCCCAGGAGAGRGGCCCCAGAAGGGCTGAGCTGAGGCTCCTCCTCACCAAAGACTCCTCATGGAGGAGCTGCAAGGATGCTCGCTTTGAGCCCCTTCAGTGCACCCTGTGCCCCCATCCTCTCAACCCCGCCATGCATTCCCCTCCCAGAGCGCCTGTGAACCCCAGGCTGGCCCCATTCCCAAATTCTCAGTGCTGARGGTGATCTTCCTTGCCAAATCCTGCTCTCTGAGACATCAGAGCAGGYCCACTGACCCTGCTACTACAACAGCATCCACCAGGCACCACTGGTGACCAAAGGTTTCAGTGTTTCAGTGCCACCACCACCACTGCCATCCATCTGTGATGTCTTTTTCCTCGCTCCGGTTTCCAAATAACCAGAATAATTACCTTTTTCTTTCTTTTCTTATTTCTTTTCCTTTCTTTCTCCTTTCATCAAGGAGCCACAAATCCAGCACGTACAGGTCTGGAGGGGATGAGGGATGCTGGGTTCTCTGCCCAGCATCACCCATCCCCATCTGACCAAACACAGATAAGACCAAGCCAAAGCGCCGGCTGTGTGCCCTGCCAATAACTCTTTAAAGCCCTCTTCAAACACACTCTTCTGCTAACTAAAGTATGCAGGAGTGGGTAGGAAGAGAAAGGAGGAGAAAGTGAGCTTTGGAGGATTGCTGCAAAGTGCGTTTATTTTCCTTTCTTGACTGGGTCTCTCCAGTTGGGAATTTTCAGCGCTGCACTTCTGCGCGCGGAAGGGAGATGCCAGTAAATCAGAGCAAATTCAAAACAAATGCTCTTTCATGTGGAGGCATTCGGCTTTGTTTCAGGGCTTGGGTAGCTAACCATATCCCTTCAAGAGTCAACTCTCCTATCAGCTCCTCATTAAACTAAATGGCTACAATTACATTTGGGGAGGAAAAAAGAGCAGTTAATGATCGTAAAAGGTTCTGTTTCCAGGCTTGGGGAGGGGGGGGACCTTTGATAAGGGGGCCAAAAAAAAAAAAGTCCAATCCAAAGAAATAAAAACAASAGAATAAAGTAAGTCAAAAATGGATTTTCAGGTGGAAATGTGCTTTAATTTGGGGAAGAAGCTCAATTAAGGAGCTAGGGGTCCCCTTCCCGCTGCCCTTTGGGAGGCACCAGGAACAAGCCATGTTATTTCCTGCAGCCCAAGCCCCCACCTCCGCCTTCCCTTCGGGAGCAGAGCTGCCAGACGAGATGTTATCAATAGGCTGAACCTTACAGAAAGCCCCCTTTTAAAAGCAAGTACTTCCTCTGCTTATTTCATGTGGTATCCTGTGGAACCGAACTCTCTCCTCCCCTCTGCAAAGGGTGTATTTCAGGAGGAAAAAGGAAAAAAAAAAAAAAAAGAAAAAAGATCTAACAACATCCTTATTGTGTTGTTTTGCTTCTTGTCTTTTTTTCTTGCTACAGTCTCTTTTTTTAAATTCCCTGAAGCTATAGGCTCCAATAGCAAAAATACAAAAAAAGCCCAAAGCCTTCTGTCTTAAAAAAAAAAAAATAACCCAAACAGCAACAAGTTTCCCTGTTCCCTCTCCCCCTTCGTTTGATTAATTCTCATTAGGGCCTTTGAACAAACAATATGCTCCCCTCTCAAATAACAGACAGGGTATATATTACACCCAAAGAAAAACAAACAAGGCTCACTCAAAGACATCACATCCACACCAAACGCAATTCCTGGAGAGAGGCAGGGGCAGATGCATGCGCGCGTGCAGCCGCCGCCAGCCTAATTCCRAATTCCAGTTTCAGGGTGATGAATAAATCATAAATCAAGGAGACATCCCCACAAAGGCAAGCACCTTCAAACATCAGCCAGTACCTGCAGGTACATGGTTTCAGACACTTTAATCCTGGCAGAGACACTGAGGTGGCCAGTCTGGGGTGGGAGATGAGGTGCTGGTGACATCACACCTTGGAAATGGGGTTGGAGCTGGACTAGGTGACCTTCAAAGGTCCTTTCCAACCCAAACCACTCTATGTCTCTATGCAAACCCCAAGAGGGGCAGGAAAACCACGTTCCAAGCCTCCATCCTGTAACAGCAACTGGAGACTGAAGGACATGGCAAACAGGAAAATGAGGAAAATCATAGAATATCTCAGATTCAAAGGGATACATAAGGATGTCTGTAACATCCTCTGCAAAAACTCAGGCCACCTTTCCTTCCCAGGCRCCATGAGCCTTGCACATTAGATGTGGGATGCTGGTGACCCGACCAGGAGCAAAATCTGAGCAAGGTTCTCATCCCAGARACAAGAGATGCTCCCACCACCAAGCCAAGCAGCGTTTGACACCGAATCCTTCTTTAAGGTGCGACTGCACCTGCTCCCATAACCCCCACATCCGAATGAATGATCAACCAACATCACTCAGCACTTCCCTGCCTCAGTCCTTCTGCCTCCTCCTGCCCCAGCCCAACAATGAATGGAGCAGAAGGCTGGAATTCAAAGGAAATACARGCTTTTGGGGATTTTGGCTTTTTGGAGAACCTTGTCCGGCATTTCAACACATCCTCTGCACGAGAGGTACCCAGCTGCTACTGAAATGAAGCCCAACTCCCCCTCCAAGCACATTTTTCTCAGTGATGTGTATTCCCAAAACTCCCCCAGAATCATTTCACTTTCACAGGACCCTCAGCCAACGCAACCCACCCACGGCCAAGACCAAGAGCAACAAGAGATGTCTTACCTGAGAGCCCCCCAGGGGCTAGACAATTAGTTCCCCCTGTTTCAGTGGAGGAAGGCACAGAATCTGGACAATCTGCTGGAGCAGAGGAAAAGGGAAAAAAAAAAAAAAAAGTCAGTATATAGGTGGCTCTTTGCAGGCTCCCAGCATCGCCCCAAGCAGGACACACATTCCAAAGGGCTTAGCAGGAAGCGATTACTAATTGTCCGTGCAGAGACAGTAGTTCATCAAGAAGCATCCACCCTAACTCGTTGTCTCAGTCAAGGCTGCGCTTCATCACCAGCCARCGCTGATTATAGACCTGCAGAAATTACAGGCTGGCTGCCACCTCTCCGGACAAGTCACTGAGGAGATCAAGGTTGTCGCCGTTCTGATGTAAGCGAGCTTCCAAAAACGCTTAAATCGTGGCTTTATGCACCCAATTTAGTCTACACCTGTAACTCACCGAAATGGGAACCGAAAGGGAAACGTCTCATTGCTGCCCTTTTGGCACAAACGGGCTGAGTTCGTGGTCCCCCGCTCAATTTCTGTCACTGCCAGCTGCTGGCAGATCTTGTTGCCACCTCCTGTCCCTCTGTGCCCCACCACAGGGCAGGGGAACTCTGGCTGCTCCTAAGGGGYTCCTCCCTATGGATGGAGGTGCTGGAACTCAAGGCTTGCACTTTTCTATCCCAATCCTGCTCCTGCAGGTGACAACAGGCAGAAGCCAGCACTGATCCTCTGGTCCTATGGACCAGCTCCAGCCTTTTGGTCACCACCATGTGGGATCACAAGTTACAGGACAAGCCTGGGAAGAGCTGTGAAACTCATGCAACCTTCCAGTCCTCAGAGTCTTTGGGTTTCACCAAATTTGGGCTCCCTATGAATTATTTCACCTCAAAGCAATGGCAGCCACCAGAAGAGCAGAGATGATTTCTCCCTACTGATAAAGCAGTTCCTCCAGAWCCCACCCCTGAAATACCAATGAATAAGAAATTCCTGTCTGCATAACCTCATTTTATCAGAGTAAAGTAAAAGCCCTAACAGGAATATACAGTTTAACAGGATATACTTAATCAAACTGAAAACAATAGGGGAGACAGGAAATAGACTTACTTGTGAAATACTGTATATGATATGCTCTCTAAATGCCTTGTCGTGCTTTCTATGCTTTAAAGAAATTGAGTTTTTACTTTTTTTTTAACTCTTTATATTCCAGACAGGAGATGACCCTGCCATTCCCCTGTGATGGCTTCAGCTGCCTGAGCTGCAGATGCTTTCTGAACACAGGCTGGAGCACTGTGCCCTGCCCTGGGCTCCCTCCTCCCTTAGGAGCTCCTGCGGGTAATGGACATCACGGCCCTTTCCATGTTGTCTTGCTCTAGGAATCATAGCTGACCACGTTCTGTTACCACATCAGGCAGGACAGAATCCTATCCAAATATCAAATGCATAACCCCAGAAATGCGAGATGTGCTTCCACACCTTCTTCCTMTGCTCCCTCCCTGTGTCCCACCACCCAGCAGGCAGCTCCCCTCACCCGTGAATCACCCACTGAAGTCTCTTTACGGAATGCAGAGCTGGTGCAGCTCAGCCCCAGACCAGCCCTGACAGTCAGCTGTGGGATGAGCTCCAAGGCAGAGCCTTCTCAGGGTCTCTGCCCTTTGTGTGGCTGATTCATCCCTGCACTCTTCCCACCACCCACAGAGCTGCCCAGGGCTCTTGTTAGGGGGGCGTTTTATCCTCAGCACCAGAGAGGTCACAGGACATTTGTCCAAGCCTGGTGCACACCAATCTCCTGCCAACACTGCCTTCCCACAGCATAAACCCATTGTGGAGACACACAATTATTCCCTGTGGCCACCAGCCCAACCTTGCAAGGTGTCAGRCAGCTCCTGGAGCTGATGCCACAGGAGGGCATTTGGCCCCGCAGCAACATCTCAGCGAGTCTCCTGCACTCTCCAGCACCACCAAGACCAGGAGCACAACAGAGCCACTTGCAGACCCTTGTCACACTTAAAGCTGAGTCACAAATCTGCCTGAACTAAGGCAGGGCTCTGTTATCCACTCACTCTCAGCAGAGCTGCAAGCGGCAGCTCCAGCAGGGACACSAGGAATGCTGGAGTCCCAGGAATGGCAGTGTCCCAGGTCAGGTTGGATGGGGCTTGGAGCACCATGGGACAGTGAAAGGTGTCCCTGCCCAAGGCAGGGGGGTGAAATGAAATGAGTTTCAATGTCATTCCAACTCAAACCCTTCTGGGATTCTGTGACTGAGCAAGCCAGCCCAACCCACAGCCTTCCCCCAGGTAACTCAGCCATCAAGGGCACATCTTTSTGTTCTGTGACAAGTACACAAATACCAAATCTACCCTAACAACACACAGCCTGATGCAGCATTTCACTGCCTGCAGTAGACTCTCAGCTCCCTGTCCTTCCCCGCTTTCCTCCAGCCTGTCTCAGCCTCCATCACCTCCAGAAAAAAACTATTTAATCCCCATGGCAAGGGTTTTAAAGCAAAAGAGAAGAGAGATTTACATGATGAGGGGAGAAATTGTTGACGATGAAGGTGGTGAGGCACTGGCTCAGGTTGCCCAGAGAGGTGACAGATCTCCCACCCCAGAAACACTCAAGGTCAGGCTGGATGGGACAACCTGGTCTAGTTGATGTTCTAGAAAATGTTCCAGCTCATTGCAGGAGGGCTGGACCAGWTCATCTTGAGGGTCCCTTTCAACACAAACCATTTCTGATTCTGTGATCTGGTGATCTCTACCCAAGCCCACACCAGTCCATTCATGACCTGCCCRTCTGTCCATACGAAGCWCTTACAAGACATGGCACTGAGCACWWGAAAACTTTTATCACCACTATGGCACAACTTTCCCACCCTTTCCCAGCTGGCAGAGTCTAAGCATAGGGACTGTTCCTGCCCAAGGTCCCAGGTGAGAGGATGGCTGATGTGCATCAGCCAGGTAAAATATTCCTCACACCTTCTCATAGTTCACAACGTGCATCTGGGAAACTGCCACAGGACATGGCACCAGGGCTGGGATGGGAAACCCTCGGTCCCTCTGCAGAGGAAGTGCTAAGAAACCCTGAGCTTGCAAAACCCACCTGCCACCACAGACTTGCAGGCTCCGCTGGTGCCTGTCACAGCCCCGTTAGTCAGAGCTCAGCTGCCAAGCGGATTTTTCTTTCGAAAAGGGAAAAAAAAGGAGGACTTTTTGGTGAGTAACCCAGTTGTTTCTGTGCTTCCGATGGGCAGCGTTAATCACTTCCTATTGGCCGATAGGAATAACTTTTCCTTTCGAAATGGCACATTCATGTTCTGCGGCTTTTCTGTTTACACACATTTTGCTACCTTATGTCAACACTTGCTAATGAATAAATATATCATTCGGCTAACTGAAAATGAGATCCTGGCAGAGGCAGATTGGATGTTTAAATCCTGCTAATAGATTTATCCTGACATCTTTACAGGAAACCAAAACCAAGTTTTAACCCTTCTCTCCCGCAGCTCCGAACCCTTTYGCATCCCATGGATCATCAACGCCCGGGAAGAAAAGCCACAGAAGCAAAAGTAGGAACTTTTGGGGGAGCACTGCAGGGCTGCAATCAAAGTGGTGCGAAACCCACAAAATTTCATGACCCAGCAGACCCTCAGAGTCTATTACTGAACAACCCTTCTGCAGCCCAGCACATGCTCGGGATGCTGAACCCAGTCCCAATGTCCCTCTTTCATTCATGAGCCCTTATCTCCTGTTTTTTTCACACCAAGGCAAGTTCATGCTTTGCAACCCAACTGTTTGTTAAACAGCTCTGTTTATTTCCACAAAGCAAAAAAAGACYGATTAATGTTCCCAAAGAGTTTGCAGAGAGAGGAAAACAACAGCCTCCAAGGAAGCAGCAAGCAGGATAAGACCCCAACCAGCGCACCAGAGCAGCCTCAGGCTGGGGCTTCTTTCTGCCCTGTGACACTGAAGAGAGGTAATTTCACAGACGCTGCTCCTTTGGCCAAAAAMAAAACCCAACCAAACAACCTGATACTGGTTTTTAGGAATATTTATCCACCTTTGGCTCCCTGCAGCGCTGTGCCTCCCCTGCCTGCCACGACCGCGGGACACGACCGCAGAGACCACCGTGCTCCAGCCAGCACTCCAGAGCCACTAATCCTCAGGAAGCCAGGAGCTGCTCCTCCCGAGCTCCCCCTGTTTCCGACTCTCCCCACCTCTCCTCCTTCTCCCAGCCTCATTTATCTCACACCCCGAGCTCGCTGCCAACCAAGAGTTTATGCAGACAACCGCAAAAGAGCTGGTGCCAGCCTCAAATGGGCTTCTCCCCTGGCACCCTGACATTCAATTACAAGCAACAGGCATGCATAGTGATGCTAAGAAATTTAAACTTTAAAAAAAGTAAAATGAAAACAACTTTTCAACCTCTTTTCTTGGGTTTTTTTTTTGCAATTTGATGAGGCAGGATTAGGCTCCCATAAATTTCAGAGAGATTTCTAACAAGCCCATGTGTCAAGGTTCGTTGGGATTCTCAGGCATTCATCAGGGAGATGCTTGCTGGATCCCAACCTAAATCCCTGAAAATTCACCCAGGGGTGCGGGAGCACTGCCATTTCCATCTGGAGCCTATGGTTTTCCTGGCTGACTCAAGCAGCACAGGCCTGCGCTGCACTGCAATTCCTTCTGAAGTTCMCTGCCAGAGTTTTAAAATCCTACTTTGTGCAGAAGGTGGCTTAGATAAATTATATGTTAATTCTTCCAAGGGTAGCARGAGGCACAGAAGCACACAAGCAGCCCAAAAGCGAAATGCATGACAAAGGCAGGAGCCTGTTTTCCCCGATAAAAAGGCTGTTTTCCCATTTTTTATCTCTTACCCTGCATAGAAAGAAGTCCACTTACCAGTTGGTTTGAGAAAATCCATTGGATATCTGGAGTA